CCATGAATCATCGATAAAAGGGTATTGAGATTCAATTAGGACAGATTTCGATGGCTCTAAATAATCGTCCCCAAGGGACGTTTCCTGCAGATAGAAAAATCAATCCAAAAGAGCAAGGGCCGAAACAACTTATGGCAATGAGTCTACAAAACGGTAGAGACCTAGATTTGGAGCAAGAAATTGCTTGCGAAAGCCGACCTACTGAAACACTTATGCCAGTACCCATTGAGATAGATGAGTCAACAGGGTTAACTGAGGTGACAACACAACATGCACAAGAGAGCACAAGCAAAGAAAAAGAGGTTGCGAAGGAAACTGAGGTAGCACAAGAAACGACAGCAGAAGCAGTGCCTGAGCAAGATAAAACTCAAATCACAGGAGAAGTGACCTCCAACACCTTTGCCCCAGAGATTGGCCAAATATCAAAAAGATGAGCTGTCGCGCCTCCTTTTTCCTCGCGGAGTCCGGGTTTCGACATTTGGGATAACTCCTTTTCCTTTTGGGAATTGGATATGAGAATTGAAGAGTCGCCACCTAACGGATTAAGGTGCGTTAGGACACCTAGAGCAAATAACTCACAAACTAGTTTACATCACCAGAGATTTGGGTAAGGGCTCGAAATTACCTTGAGGGGAAGGTGTTAGGCACCCCTCGAGGTCCACAACGGTGGGTCCCGGTCAAACTCGATTTAAGTGAATTAGTCTTATAAGCAGACAAACAAACAGATATCACTTTTTAAACAAGGAGTAAAAAGGGGTCCTAGGTTTTTTAGCCTATGGGATCACTTCTGTGCAATACTTGGTAATCGTCCCCAAGCTGGGGTGCTACACATAGCATTAGCGCACAGGTCATCATTTCCTTTACTACCCGATTACCCTCCCCTTAATCATTACCTAAGCGTTCTAACAGCATCGAATACGTATCCTATGCGTGCATTACCTGTCCCTTACCTGTGGCCCTGAAGGTGTTTAGGACCTCTATTTAAGGTGTTTCTAGACTCACCTATGTTATTTAAAAGGAGAAAACTAAGCGACAAACAAAAGTCAAATAGGACTATCACATAAAGATGCAATTAAGGGGGCTCATATTTACCTCCACAAATAGACAAAACAAGTGCACGCCATTCAAACAAACGGTTATTATAATTTTAGGAATCCTATAGGCAAGATATCTAAATGAGTACAAATAAAGTATACAACAGTTTTATTTAGGCGAGGCAGTGAGTACCTATCAGTTTGCCTACTGATTTTTTATCATACTGAATCTGAGTACGTTTCAAGCAGCAAGAAAATCACAATTTTAAACCCATGATTTAATTGTCCTACAGGCTTGCCTAGGTGATAACTGGTCCTATAGGCATGGTATCTAAACTTTAATCAGACTATAATTTTATAAACCAGTGATTTCACAGGCAGATTTTATCCTTTAGACCCTACAGGCATGCTTTCTAAGTGCTGAGGCTGATTACAAGCGTTATTTCATCACACAGAAAACTGATTTTATACACGTTCACTATAGGCATGATATTTCTAAATCGTCAAAACTAATTTTAAACATGATTTCCTATGGACAGGATATTTAAGTGAGCAGAATGCTATACTTATTTAATAATTCCTAAAAGATCATATAGGCATGGTTTCTAATGCACATTGAGACATGAGGATATGCATGAGCATGAATTTTGATACAGAATTGAGAAACACATTAGAAACAGAATTTCTAGTGATGCAAAGCATGAAAATTCAGGACTTTGAAGAATGAGATAAGTCCTATAGACATGGTTTCTAATACATATAAGTAAACAATCACCACAGCAACCTAAAGGCATGATTTTTACTGTATATAAATAATCACAACAAACCTACAGGCATGATTTCTACCTGATCCCAACAAAGATATATAATAATCCCTCCCAGCTTTACTAATAACCCCAATATCTGTTTTTACAAAGATTATTATTACGGACCAATATGAATAAATTACACAATGAAAATCACTATACTATAGGGAGCCTTCATAGGCCCAACATTAGCCTGGAACCAAGCCTTCAAACATAGCACCTCTGAGCATAATGGTAGCTCATCCATAACACATAAAGTTGGTTCCTGGTGTGTCAAAGTTCTCAAGGGCCTCAGGGACCCGGACAATGCTCACACCAGAATTAGATGTTCGACAAGATTCACAAAGGATTGAAAAACCAGCCCCAATGTGTCAGAGTTCAGAGGAGTCTCATGGACCCTAAGCAGTGCTCACACTGGGGGTGGCAGGACCCTAGTTAACTAAGAGTACGAGTTGGAAAAGTATACAAGGATAGGGGATAGTTTTTAGAAAAGAAAAAAGAGGTTTATTTTCATAAGTGAATAGAAACAGGTTGCAAACAGAACAGGACTTGGTTTCAGCGGATTGATTTAGACTTAATTACCAGTAGTTAAGCAAAACAGGAACACTGGAATCATAGACAGAATAGAGTCACAAACAAGGTTTCACATTGCAAGAACTAATTTAGTCTATTAACTATTACCCAAATGGAATCATATAGATATTTATTTAACCGATAGAAACATGCTGAAGTCAAAAGGCTAATCAAACTGCCATACCGAAAAGATAATGATAATCTAAAGCATATTATTTTTGAAAGAAGTACACAGAAACTATGAGTTCATCAGGAACATGCTAAGGCAGACTATCAGCATATAAAACGGGACTGGAATTGGGGCATGCTAGTTCCGAAATGGGTAAATAAGTGTCATGGATCAAACATGAGCATGCTATCATATAGAACAAGACAGGACCTAATTCATGCTGGTTAAGAGAAACATATGGCAGAACAGAAGTACGTTAACCACACAGCCACATGGGACAAAGAGGTAACAAGACTAAAGCATACTGGTTAAAATAAGCAAGAAGCATATAATAAACATGCAAATGTTGAAGTTCAGAGTGAGCTAATCATATAAGTCATAGAGAATAGGAACTGAAGCATAGTAGTTGAGAAAGAGATGGCTAAGAGGCAAGTATCAAAGCAGAAACATACTGAGACACATAGCACATAGAAGAGTAACAAAAATAGGGGCATACCAGTTAAGAGAGAGCAAACAGGAAGGTGAAGGCAAATTGAATCCAATAGCCTAGCCTTGGCGTTCAGCCGGCTAAATAGTGCAGCAAACACAAGTAACAGAAAGAATTACAATGGAGAGTGTGTGTGAATAAGAGTTTGTGTGTGTTTCTCTATCTTTCTGAGTGTGTGTGTGTATCAGAATAATGAAAGGCTTTTATAGCATACAATAGAGCAAACAAATAAGGTAGGAAACCATCACACAAATAAGGCAAAGAGATCAGTTAATCAGTCAATTAGGGCTAACATGAATCAATTAATAAGCAGATTTAAGTAAGTATCCCTTAAATTAGGGAGAATCTTCCACGGAGTAAATCAGCAGACAAGATTGAGGTTTAAATAAGGTAAGTAGTAAGTTTCGAGATCAATCAAAACACAGAAATCAGACCACTAGAGGAATTAAGGGAGGTAGTACCAATTATTAATCACACATAAGGAAAGAACGGGTAAAAATCCTATAAGGAAATATCAGTTTTAAAGGGAAGCACAATTTCAAACCCTAATTAGGCAAGTAAATCAATTAATACGTTATTTGACAGAGCTAGGTAAGCGGGCAAAACATTATAACCAACAGTCTGATAATTGAAAACCCTAGGGTGTAAAGCCATAGAGATGAAACTCCAGTAAGATCAGTCGGAAAAAAAAGAAGAAGAAAACCAGAGTTGAAAAATGCCTACACGTTTAAAACATTTTGCAGAAATCTCGTAGAAAAATCGAAACCCTAGATTTTTTAGAAAAAAATGGAATCGGTTGACAATAATAGTAAAAACAAAAAAAATCTTAAAGGGAAAATACCAAACAAACTCAAAACCCTTCAGATCTAAAGAGATCTAACGGATTCAACCAGAAATGACTAATTTATATTAAAAAATGAACAGAGGTGGAAAATCTGGTTTGAACAAGAGATTTGAAGTCATGAAAACACGAAAGTGACAATACTCACAGACATAGGGTTGAACATAGGCAGGTTAATCAAAAAGATGAGAGATTTGTACAAAATCTGGTTCGAATCCCTTGAGTCCCATCAAGTAACATAAAAATCGAACAACCAGTAGAGATATGAGGTCAGATAAGGCCTGAAATTGAAGAAAGAACCCATGAATCGAGAGGGATAACAGTGACGGCGGGCTAGGGTTAGAAGGGGGGTGAGTGAGAAGAGAAGAAGGAAGGGGTTTCAAGGATGGCGGGTTTGGAAGAATGGGGTAGGGTTTAGGAGGTTAGGGTAATTAAAAAGGAAAGATTGTCCTGGACCGTTGATCTTCTGAGATCAACGGCCAGGATCTAATCTGGTTTGGGTGGGTTATTGGATCAGGGCATTGGGATAGTAATTTGGCTGGGTAATTGGGTTAGGCATTTTAGGTGTTAGGCTGGGTAATTAGGTCCGAAAAATCAATTGAAAGAGGCTATATTTAAAATACCCAATTAACTTAATAAAACAATTTTATAAAATCATCTATAATTGATAAAAATATCATTTGTGCATGAAAATAATTTAAAAATAATTACTTAGTATTATAAAAGTACAAAAGGTTATTTTCTTATGAAATAAGGTAATTATGCACACATGGGTTATTATTACAAAGTCATTACAATTATAACCCTAACATGTACATACGGCTATTCATGAAATAATCAAGGCTTAGTATACATATAAGATAAAAAAATTAAGCAGTAAAATTATCATAAAACCATTTGTGATGCAATTAGTAATTATTTGGATAATAAAATGCTAGAAAAAATTAATTAAAATCCTTTTAAAATTGCAGAAAATTATGGAAAATTGCTGGTTGATGCTCATGCACTGTTTTGAAAGTATATATGCATTATTAAAATATATGAGGGGAAAATTGGGTATCAACATGAGCAGTATAAGAAATTCTGGGAGATGTTGAAGCAAATTCAGGTGACCATTCCATTGATTGACTCCTTAAAGGAATTCCTGGATATGCAAAAATGATGAAGGACTTGATGTCCCGTAAGTTCGACTTTCAAGACTTGGCCACGGTTACACTGACTCAGACATGTAGTGTTGTTTTGACGAGACCCATAGCTGAGAAGCTGTTTGACCCAGGGAGTTTCACAATCCCATGCATAATAGGCAACTATGCGTTTGCTAAGGCACTTTGTGATTTGGGGGCAAGCATAAACTTGATGCCCCTGGCTATCTACAAAAGGTTAGGTATTGGAAAAGTTAGACCCACGTCCATGTTACTACAGCTGGACAACCGGACAGTGAAGAGGCCCTTTGGTATCCTTGATGATGTATTAGTACAAGTTGGGAAGTTTTTGTTCCCATCAGATTTTGTCATTCTTGACTGTGGGGTTGACGAAGAGATTCCTATAATTTTGGGAAGACCATTCTTGGCCATTGGGAGAGTATTAATTGATTGTGAAATTGAAGAGCTAAAAATGAGACTAAATGATAAAGAGATAGCATTTAATGTGTAGAAATATATGCACCGACCAAGTGAATTTGCTAACTGCTCTCTAATAGATGTTGTGGATGTGATTTTGGAGGAAGAAGATGAGACCTTGAATGCTAAAGACCCCCTAGCAGCCTGTCTCATGAACTTAGATAAAGCAAATAGAGAGGACTTGGCGGAGTGGGTACTGGCTCTTGAAGGCCAAGGGTTTTCGAAAGGGAGCTTGAATTTGAGCCTTTGCACTTAGAAGAAAGGAAAACTCCCCCAGCTAAGCCATCGATAGAATAGCCACCAAAGTTGGAACTGAAGCCACCACCACCTCATCTTAGGTATGCTTTCTTGGGACCTAACTCAACTTTACTTGTTATTATCTCATCTAGTTTGTTAGATGTGCAGGCAGAACAACTTATGCAGGTATTGATGGAGTGCAAGATTGCAATTGGTTGGACCATTGCAGATATTAAAGGTATCTCCCGGCATTTTGTATGCATAATATTTTACTGGAAGAGGGGCACAAACCTTCCAGGGAACATCAAAGAAAGCTGAACCCCAATATGAAAGAAGTGGTGAAGAAAGAAGTGATCAAGTGGTTAGACGCGGGAATCATCTTCCCCATCTCTGACAGTAACTGGGTCAACCCAGTTCAGTGTATGCCAAATAAGGGCGGTTTGACTGTAGTGCAAAATGAGAATAACGAGTTGATCTCAACACGAACAGTCACAGGTTGGCGAATCTGTATGGATTACACACAGTTGAACAAAGCTATCCGAAAAGACCATTTTCCACCGTCATTCATTAATCAGATGCTAGATAGATTGGTAGGGAGGTCCCACTTCTTATTTCTAGATGGATACTCGAGGTATAATCAGATCCCTATTGCCCCGGAGGATGGATAGAAAACGTCGTTCACCTGCCCTTATGGAATCTATGCCTTTCGGAGAATGCCGTTTTAGCCTATGCAACGCACCTGCCACATTCTAAAGGTGCATGATGGCCATCTTTACAGATATGGTAGAGGAAATGGAGGTCTTCATGGATGACTTCTCAATAGTGGGGAATTCATTCGATGATTGCCTTATGAACTACTGAAGAGTGTTGAAGAGGTGTATCGAGACTAATCTGGTATTCAACTGGGAAAAGTGCCATTTCATGGTACTGGAAGGTATAGTGTTGGGGCACCTAGTGTCGAGTAAGGGCATTGAGGTAGACTGTGCAAAGGTTGATGTGATAGAGAATCTTCCTCCACCCACTTCCGTCAAGGCAATAAGAAGTTTCTTAGGACACGCCAGTTTCTATAAGAGATTTATAAAAGATTTTTCCAAAATTGCTAACCTGTTGTGTAAATTGCTTGAAAAAGATCACCCTTTTGTGTTTTCTGATGACTGTAGGGTAGCTTTTGAGGAATTGAAGAAGAGGCTGGTGACATCACCTATTATATTTGCACCTGACTGGGAGCAACCATTTGAGATGATGTGTGACGTAAGCGACAATGCTGTGGGAGCAGTTCTTGGGCAGCGGAAAGATAAAGTCAAGCATCCAATATACTACGCAAGTAGAAATTTGAGTGGTGCCCAACTAAATTACACAGTGATCGAGAAGGAGAAGTTAGCACTGGTGTTCGCATTTGACAAATTCAGTTCATACCTGATAGGCTCAAAGGTAATTGTTTATACTGACCATGCTACTCTCAGGTACCTCATTGAGAAGAAGGAGTCAAAGATGCGCCTGATTCGATGGGTGCTACTGCTGCAAGAATTTGACTTGGAAATTCGTGACCGAAAGGGAACGGAGAACCAAGTGGCTGATCACTTGTCGAGGCTGGAGGGAGCCGAGAAGAAGGTTAAGATGGAAGAGATTGTGGAGACTTTCCCGGATGAACAACTATTAGCCACGAGTATTGAGGTAGCGCCATGGTATGCAGACACTGCAAACTACCTGGCGAGCGGTATTGTTCCTTATGACCATTCCTCTGTTCAAAAGAAAAAGTTCTTTCGGGATTGTCGCATGTATTATTGGGATGAGCCTTATCTGTTCAGGATTTGTGTTGATAACATGATCCGGAGATGTATCCCCGAGATAGACCAGTCTCCTATTTTGCAGGCGTGTCACACGTCACCATATGGTGGCCATTTCGGGGGGGTGTAAGGACAGCTGCGAAAGTCTTGGAGTTGGGCTTCTACTGCCGACATTGTTCAAAGATGCACACTTATGGATGAAAGGTTATGATGAATGCAACGAACCAGGAATATTTCCTGCCGATATGACATGTCTATGAACCCAGTTCAGGAGGTAGAAGTGTTGGAAGTATGGGGAATCGATTTCATGGGGCCTTTCGTCAGCTCATATAGCAACAAGTACATACTTGTAGCTGTGGACTACGTGTCCAAATGGGTGGAGGCTGCAACGCTCCCTACAAATGATGCAAAGGGGGTAATTGGTTTTTGAGAAAGAATATATTCACCCGATTTGGCACTCCAAGGGCAATAATCAGTGACGCAGGCACCCACTTCTGTAATCGAGCCTTCAAAAAGTTGTTAGAAAAGTATGGTGTACGCCACAAGGTTGCCACCCCATATCATCCACAAACGAGTGGGCAAGTGGAATTTTTGAACAGGGAGATAAAGAGCGTTTTGACAAAGACTCTGAATGCTACAAGAATGGATTGGGTGAGAAAGTTAGATGATGAACTCTGGGCCTATTGTACCACTTTCAAAACTCTGATCGGCATGTCGCCGTATAAATTGGTGTTTGGGAAGGCGTGTCACTTACCAGTGGAGTTGGAGCATAGAGCTTTGTGGGAATTGAGGCAGCTGGATCTCGATATAGAAGTTGCTGGTACAAGTAGAGTCACAGAGTTGCACGAGCTTGATGAGTTTTGCTACTACGCTTTTGAGAGCACAAGACTATACAAAGAGAGAATGAAGATGATGCATGACAAAAATATCCTTGAGCGGAGTTTTACACCCGGAGATATGGTATTTCTTTACAATTCAAGTTTGAGGTTATTTCCGGGCAATTTAAAGTCAAGATGGTCAGGACCATTTCATGAGGTAGAGATTCACCCCATTGGTACCGTAGATATTGCTGCAGAAACTGACTCTCGCACGTTCAGAGTCAATGGGCACAGGTTAAAACATTATTTGGGCATGAATGACGCGAAAGTAGTGTTGGTGACTCATTTGCTCGAGCCACCAATGTTAAGCGAGCCTTAAGTGTGATGACCTGCGTCGTGCCGGACGTTAAAGTAGGCGCTTCATGGGAAGCAACCCATTGTAATGTTGTATTCTTCGTATCGCGACGTTAAATCAAGCTATAAAAACTAAAAATAAAAAATAAAAAAAAATTCAACGTGCGCAGTCGTGCTTATCGCCGCGCATTTTTAGAATTTTCTGCAACAGATGCGCGGTCGTGCACTGACCGCGCACTGGGCTCCGTTTTGTAGGGTATTTAATTAGTTAGTTCTTTTATTTTATTTTATTTTCCTTTTTTTTTCTTTTAAAACCCCCAACCCCCCCTATTCTGCTAACCGAAAAAGCCCTGTCGCCCTTCTCTACCCTTCAAAATCAATGGGAAAAAATCCTACCCCTTTCACCTCGTCTCTTCTCTTCCATAATTTCCCTTTTCTCTCATCCCTTCTCTTTTGCTTTCCTTTTTGTTCTCCCCAACCCATATCCTCACAAGTCCCTTAGGTAAGTGCCACTATTTTTTTTAATTTTTCCCCATCTTAGTTTAGTTTAAGTTATTTGTTTTTGACGTGTAGTAGATTTCTTTTTTTTTTTCTAGTTACACTTGTTTGTATGTCGGGGTAATAGTCGAATTTCATCATGATGGGTTAGGTTGACATTGGTGTATCTATGGTTGAATTGGGGTTATCAAATTGTTGTTTGGGAGTTCGGTTAATTGTGCACTTCAGGTGTTTGTATAATGCCACAATGAGTTTGAGAATGTAATTTTGTGAACAAGTGTGCTGGTGAAGTCTGAGTAACCGCCATTGGTTCACATATCGTGCCTTTCGCTGATGGTGGTATTTGTTTCAGGTAGTATTACGCCATCCAAGAAACGAAGAACCACAGGTGGATCCTCTAGTGGTCACGCTGGATCATCCCGGCCGCGAGCTTCGGCTAATGTTCGCCAGTATGATAGTACCAAGTTCGTATCCAGCGCGGCTCAGGAACATTTTCCAAGAAACTTATACCGGAAAGGGGAATTGATATGGGGTCCCTCCAAAATGATTGTCCCAATATGTATCTTGAATTGGTTCGGCGCAGGCTGGATATCATGTTTGAAGAATCGGATGAAGCCAATTTAATGATTGTGCGGGAGTTTTATACAAATTGCCCGGAACATGTGAACCACGTCTGCACGGTGTGGAAAAGGAGTGTGGACGCCTCCATAGAGGGCATTCGGAAGGCTTACCAGTTGCCAATATTTAGGGAAGATCCTGACGCGGAGGACTACTATGACACCTATGGCAGAGTATCATCTCGCGGGAGGTGTTCTTTAGGACAATATATGTGCCCAACAAGGAAGTAGTGTGGATTACGCTGCGGCGGACGTTTCATTCGGCTTTGCTCACCTTTGAAGGGAAGTGTTGGTTCTACGTCATCAATAGCCGCTTGCTGCCCTCTTCCAATACCACTCAGGTGAATGGTCCGCGGGCTGCACTGATTTGGTGTTTTAACAATGGCCATGATTTTTATGTGGCTAAGGTTATTCATGACTAAATGTTCATTCGTTGTCCGGTGCAAAGGTATGGTTTCTTCTTTCCGTCCTTAATCACTAGATTGTGCCGTGCGACACGTGTACCAGAAAACAGGGACTTAGATGGGAAAGTTAAAAAAGAACAGAAGTTCCGGGCTGATAAAGTGGTAATTTGGAAGGATCATGTTGCACCTGTTGAGTCAAGTAGCGATGAGTCGGATGCTCCAGAAGAGGGTAATGAAGGGCAAGCTACAATTGTAGCTGCTTCACCACCGCATGAGCAGGTTGTTGAGTGAACCTTAATTGTCAGATGGGACACGAGAA